CCTACCGGTTGTCCGAGGCTCGGCAATAAAGTCCGAGGCTCGGGAACGACCGGCCTACCGGTAGGCTGAGCCACGGGCCTTAACAACCGGCAGGTAATGGTGGTTTAACAATTGACCCGGAAAAAGAAGGGGGTCAAAAACATGCTCTTCGAGTACTTGATTTTTTTTTTTTCATCTTTTGAAGAGCTGCCCATCAAAATGAGTCTTTCCAGCGGCCTAGCTCAGTTCGTAAGGCTCGCAAGTGGCATTCAGGAGGTCATGGGTTCAATCCCCATTGGCCTCATGACCTTCCTGGGCTTACTTGGTACCCCCTACCCAAGAGATAGACCACTGGATCCCCCGATCGGCATCAAGCAGAGTCTGCTATGTTCGTAACTAAATCCCCCGATCGGCATCAAACAGAGTCTGCTATGTTCGTAACTGGATCCCCCGATCGGCATCAAGCAGAGTCTGCTATGTTCGTAGGGGAGCGGCCTGAGGGGAGGCACGGGGGATTGGTCCGCTTTATCCCTGGTGCTACCGGCCGTCCCCTGGCCGGTATCCTGCAGGCTCGAGGGGCCGTAAAAACACGGCTCTGGTATGCTACGGGGTTTCCCGTATGCCTACAGGTAGGAGTAGTGGTAGGTAGGTAGTGTGAGGAAAAAATTGAGAGAAGAGTATAGTTAAAAAAAAAAAAAAAAAAAAAAAAAGAGTCTTTCCATTTTTTCCGGCCTCCCATTCTTGGGAACTGGAAAGAAAAAGCACAACAACAAAAAAAAAAAACACCACTTCAGAATATAAATCCCTCACAATTTCTCTGCCTTCCGATTCTCCTGCATCAGCGGTGGGACGATGTCCCGCAGACGTCCCACAGGTGTTTGTGGCACACAGTTTACCTTACTCCTTTGCTAGTGGAACCGTGTTCCGGGTGATCGTCCGAGTCCGCAGTGCGTTTCTCCCACCTGGACTTCCTTACGCACGCACACAGCCCTCGTACGTGGGGCAACTTTAAGTCCAGATACAGATATAAATGACCCCGGGGGGCCAACTTTCAGTCCAGATACAGATAATCGCAACCGTCCTCCGGCACAAGCCGACGTCCGGGAAATGCCGGCTGGCTGCACCTTCAACAACCAAGTCTAACCCCCCAGTGCCCCCACTAAGGTCTTTTGACCTGAATACAACGCCCGGTCATTTTATGGGTGTCGTTCTTGCGCAGGGGCCACATCCGTTAAAACTGGAACGATACAGAGAAGATTAGCATGCCCCGGTCATTTTACAGCTGTACTGGGCCAATTGTCAGTCCAGATACAGATATAATGATGACCAGGGGCTGAATTTGGGTGAAGACGGTTGTGGGACTTGGCCCCTGGACGGCTGACCCCATTTGATTGTGAGGCACCCTGGACCCGATTCCCAGCATTGTGGGAGCAAGATGCATCCCCTTGATCCTGAGAGGTAGATAGCTATGCTTGCAGGGGTCACCTGTATAGGCTTTTAGGTGTAGGGGTAGGTAGGTAAGGTGAAATTGTTGAGAGAAGAATGTAGCTTAGTTACAAAAAAGAAATTAGTTACAAAAAGAATATATATATCGTCAAATAGAACTGCCCGGTAAACCGTAGGCAGAGAGGGAGAAGGAGAAGAGGACAACAAACGAGGGGCTGTGACAAACTGTTTCGTCGGAGTTTCACCGACTCATCA